CACAACTTTCTATCCCTTGTAGCTCTTAGCAAGAGCTATCATTTTACTGTTGATATGCATTTATACAAGCTCATTAGATAGTTACTCACTGTTTTTATCTGTCCCACTTGCCCTCAAGATGCTTAGTGAGTGTCAAATTTTTTGAGCTTTCTTTTTTATATTATGTGTCCTAGAAATTCCAATTTTCTATTTCTGAGTCTTAAAGAATGCTTCCTCTGGTTTCAAATAAACCCAGTAGAAAGCTTTGATTCTTTCAAGTTCTTTATTCTTCAGTAAAGGTTTACCAAAGCCTCTAACTGGCTTTTTGAAGAGGTTTGTCGGTTTTCTAATTTGTGACTTACCTACAATATTTACACAGCAAAAATATGCAAGTGGCATAACAGTCATTAGTATCGAAAATATAACTATCAGGACAAGTTTGAATTCCAGTCGCTTGAATTTAAAAATGTGGAAAAGACTCCCAAGAGAATGCCTACATATCCTCATAATCTACACTTCCTCTTTTTCACATATATTCCACAGCCTCATTCAAAAACCCTTTACTTTGAATGGAATGGTTCTTGGGCTTTGAATTGGGTAGACAATTAGTCCTAAAAAAAAAGAACCCTATTTTTTTAGAAATTATCAATAATAGTTAAAAGTACTTGTAAATATAAGCAAATTTTTCACACACTGGAACATAACTTGTCCCACTGTTAAAATCAATTGCTTTCAATTGAAAACAAATCGATTTTCAATAATTTTAGGGGTTTTCTAATGTTTTCAAAAACCAAATTACTTTTTAAATTATTATTGTTTAAGTTATGGCACAGTTGCAGGGGTTGGCATAAAATGGTGTCTAGCAAGTACATTTTCCATGTTTTCATAAGTTTTTGAAAACCAAATCTTTTTTAATATAACTTTGTGTAAGCTGTTGAAACTTGTTAAAATTAATTGTTTATGATTGAAAACAAATTGATTTTCAATAATTTTAGGGGCTTTCAAATGTTTTCAAACACCAAATTACTTTTTAAATTAACATTGTTTAAGTTATGAAAAAGTACGGGGTGGATAGGGGGGTTTGGTTCAAACAACAAATTGCATTTGATTTTTCAACAAAATCCAATGCTTCCAAATGAATCACAGAGGTAAAACAATATTTTTTGTTTTTTTAACTAATGTTCACCCAATACAAAGCCCAAGAGCCACTCAAGGTAAAGGGGTACTGTGTAGAGTCATATTAGCATGAGAAAGGATCAGATAACAAGAAAGATAAGCAACTAATTCTAGAAATGAAGTGTTGAAAAATTTAATTAAAAAATAAAAGTTCAGCCGAAGACATTAGAAGTATAGAATCAAAGTAGACTTTAGAAAGAACTGGAAACCGAATCCTAAACAGGAAACAAGGGATAAACCTCTACACCTGTTCAAAAGACTGGGGAAGGGTGCAAACCTATCTACTCCTATTGGGAGAGGGGAAAAAAGTAATTACTGAATAAAATTTCAGGTGGGGACATTAGAAGTACAGATTTGAAGGAACCAGAAACCCCAATCCTAAACAGGAAATAAGGGATAAACCTCTACTCCTCTTCAAAAAACAACTTATCTACTCCTATCGAGGGAGGAGAAAAAATAATTAGTGAAAAACAATTCAGAGTCCAGGCGAAGACTTCAGAAGGAATCAGGAACCCAATCCTAAACAGGAAACAAGGGATAAATAAATATAATATATAGTGAAAATTTTAAATTTAGGAAAAAAAAAAAAATTTTATTTTTTTTTTTTTTATCTAACATATTTTGGGTATATAATCTAGCCAATTTCATTTAAATTCTTTTTGTTTCCATCACTTTTGTTATTAAATATCTCACATTGTGATAACAGAATATCTGCCAAAAATGGTGAAACATTGTAAAAACCTGGACGCAAATTTATTGTGGATGAACTAGGAATTAAAGCACTTTCTAAACATTTTCGCTTTAGTGAATTATTTTCTCTTTTTTTTATGTTAAAATTGTTGTCAGTCTCGTTACAGTGAGCTTTTAATGTGTTTAAACACACTATAGGCCCAAAATTTAGGACCACCTTCTGGATTTCAAAGAATTGCTTAAAAATTTAAGTTTTCTAAATCTAATTTTACACGCCATTTATACCAGAGGGACTATCTCTTCTTGAAGGGTTTTAGCATATATTCAATAATAATAACAATATTAACCCTATGCTATATAAATTTCCCTAATCTACCTTACTGGATCATAAGTAATCTTAGAGGCTGAGGTACTTTAAATTTTAAGTAACCATCTCAAAAAAAATAGGATGCCAGGCACTAACGAGTTAAATAGATTTGGCATCCCAAATTAGGAGTTAATTAAATGAAAGGTATGAGAGTTGCAAATTATTAAATCCAGAAGGTTTTGTGTATGTGTGTGTGTATATCTATATAGTTTTGTATAATATCAAAGCTTCTTAAAAGAAGGCTTCAAATTGGCCACGCCTAAAAGGTGTAAAAATTTGCAAGTAAATAAATGAATAAATATTTGCAAAAATAGGCTATAAAGAGGTCACATCTAAAAAAGCACAAGGTGCTCAATGCTGGACATCCAATAAAGAAGTGGGATATATATGATTTCAATTATACTCCAATCAAGTCAATAAAGCCATTAGAATACAAAGGGTTACTGAGTATTAAAGAATATGAGAAAAGCTGCTATTAAACAGAGAGGACAACAAAAGAACAAGACAGACAATAACAATTGACATTGCATTTAAATTTTTGAAGATCAAGCTTGACTGGGAAGCAAGAAGCTGAAATAAAGTTCCACAAGCAAGAAGTGTGAGAGAAGAAACTCTTAGCATAGAACTTACGGTTACATCTCGCGATTTCAACTGCACTGTGCTTAGATTCATAAAATCTAGGTACCATAGCAGAAAGTTCATCAGAACAATTACCATGAAAATATTTAGAGAAAAGTTACAGGGAAGCGACGTTATGGCAGTGGGAAAGGGACTGAAGCCAAAATGCCAGGTCAGGACCAATAACATTGCAGATTCGTTGGCTTTGATAGTGTTTGTTTTTTTTACATGTAAATATTATAACAAACAATACAATCATCTCAGAACTTACTGACTATAGAACCAATTTACCTTTCAAATAACCACTAACTTTTTTTTTTTCAAGATAACATGAAACGTTAGCCATGATAAATGAACTTGTATATTGATTAGGGTTAAGATTTAGAAGCATTAATGAAGAAAATGTCATGCCTACTGAACCAGAAAATATGGCAGATAAAATATAATTATATGTAATGATCTTCTTTGACATCTATGAGAGTTAACATGAATAAATCTTCTTAGATAATCAAATTAGAATTAGCATCTGTTAAAATGACAAAGGTTTCCCAGACATCAGAAGTTAAAATGGCAAACATTTCCCAGGCATCAAAAGTTAAATTGGTAAATGTTACCCAGGCATCAGAAGTTAAAGTGAGAAAGAGAAATTTTAACCAGCTTATATTTGGTTTATTGTGCAAATTCAAGTTGGAAGGAAGGGAGACAAGCCTGCTGCTGCTTGGAACCATCCATTAACTTTGGAGATGGAAAATATAAACAGTTATAATATAAAATAAACCTATAAAAAAAGAATGAATTGTTTAAGGTGATTAAATGAGAATATATCATTTTCCCTAATGAAGATTATGTTTTAGTTCAGCAAGTCACTTTTTGATGGATAGTTTGATATGATTTTTAAATTTTAGGTTAAATTTAAGGATTTCATATTTTTCATTTAAAATTTCCTATTTGTTTTATTTATGATTTTAATTCAAAAACAGTTTCTGCTATTTTTTTTTTTTTACTAATTTTTGATTTTTTTTATATGATGGTTACTTTTTATCATAACATTATAGAGCAAATATCCTCCAGCCGTTTATCTATCATGCTTGAGGGCATATAAAAATCTCTCCCACTTTAAATATTAACGTAGTAGCTAACTAAGGTGTGCAGCACCCCCACATTCCAAAAGAAAAAAATGTTTAATAAACTGCACCCACTTTAAAAGATCAAATAGGTGAAAAAATAATGACAAAATTAAGCCTGTCTTTTTTTTTTTTTTAAAATCACTATTCCTTCCTCCAATTTTCTTACCTTTTTCATTCTAACTTTCATACTTACACTTTAACTTTCATTCTTTATACTTTCTTTCTCTTTTTCCTCTTCTCTCACTTTTCCCCCAATTCTTTTATTGAGTGAATACCAACAGATAAGCTGTGTGTGCATAACACTTAACAGCGCGCAAACATATTAAACTGATCTTGGGAAGCGATGTTTTAATCTTAAAAGTGTACAAGTACTTTGATCCTCAACAGAAGTGCTTGTTCATATGTTTATAATCTTGTAATTTTTTATGGGTACTATGCTCATAAGAATAAAAATCATTGGCAAATATTTTATCCAGAGTTACTTAAATTATATTTAGATAAATGATTTTTTTTGTATTTTTCATTGGTATCAAAACAATTTTTAGTGATTTGTCTACTGTTTAAAATTTATAAACAAAACATTAATGCTGTAGAATTAAAAAAAAAAAAAAAATAAACATTTCAAAATATGAACTAAGAGACAAATAAGTTTCAAAATTTAAATGTATTAAAAGCCAACAATCCCACAACCCGTCTGTCTATCTATATATATATATATATATATATATATATATATATATATATATATATATATATATATATATATATGGTATATTTGCTGTAGATCTTTGATAAAAAAAAAAAGTAAAGCTCAATTTGTGATTTTGTTCAGAATTTTAATCCCCTTTGTATAGCAACAGGCATAAATGAGACATTCTAATTATTTCAAGCAAAAGAAGACATAAATTTATAACACTGAGAAGAAAAGAAACAAAAGAGAAATTAGGGAAAAATATCCCAAAAACATGTTTCCTTGGTAACACACTATCATGTGTATAAAGAGATGGTTATAAAAATCCCAATTTATGAAGGAGAAAAAAACTCTAATAAAAATAAAGGGGGGAAAAATTCTTTTTGTTTTTTGATTGTTCCAAATAAGAATAAAAGAGAACAAAATAAAAATAAAAGGAAATATGAAAAAAAAAAAAACAAAAAAAAACTGAAGAAAAAAAGAGAGAACAAAGAGAAAACTGAAGAAAAAAAGAGGAAGAAAGAATGAGAACAAAAAAGAAAAGGAAAAAAGAAAAGAGAAAAGGAAAAAAGAAAAGAGAAAAGGAAAAAAGAAAAGAGAAAAGGAAAAAAGAAAAGAGAAAAGGAAAAAAGAAAAGAGAAAAGGAAAAAGAAAAGAAAAAGGAAAAAGAAAAAGAGAAAAGGAAAAAAGAAAAGAGAAAAGGAAAAAAGAAAAGAGAAAAGGAAAAAAGAAAAGAGAAAAGGAAAAAAGAAAAGAGAAAAGGAAAAAAGAAAAGAGAAAAGGAAAAAAGAAAAGAGAAAAGGAAAAAAGAAAAGAGAAAAGGAAAAAAAGAAAAGAGAAAAGGAAAAAAAGAAAAGGAAAAAAGAAAAGAGAAGAGGAAAAGAAAAGGAAAAGGAAAAGAAAAAGGAAAAGGAAAAGGAAGAAAAGGAAAAGAAAAGGAAGAAAAAGAAAAAAGAAAAGAGAAAGAAAAGGAAGAAAAAGAAAAAAGGAAGAAAAAGAAAGGGAAATAAAGAAGGAAAAGAAAGAAAAAGAATAAAAAAGGGAAAAAAGAACAAAAAAGAAGTAAAAATATGAACAAAAACAACAAACTAAAAAATAAACAAAAAGAACAAACTAAAAAATGAACAAAAAAGAAAAAGAAAAAAAAGAAAACAAAAAACAAACTGTTAAATATCCATCCCATAATCCTGTGCTTGGGGGGGAGACATGAAACAAGTGCATTGAAGGTGATATCAATGGAAACACACATGCAATGGGGATAATGATAAGAAGCAGATGAAGCATCATTGGGGGGAGACTCTTTCCACTTACCCATGTTATGAAGTACCGAAAAGTAGCTTTCTGTGGTTTATGCTGAAAAGGGACGGTGGTTGTTAGGAAGGCAAATCACAGGTTACATGGGTTACATTAAAACCACATAATGGCACATGGTTCCTGCTAAAAATTTCACATGCACAAAAAGAAGTCAAATAAACAAATAAAAACAAATGCACTCACACACATGATACGTTTCATAATCTCAACAAACCAATATTAATACATTTTGGGTTTAAAAAAAAAAACAAAAAAAAAAAAACAATTTGATGATGAATGTTTTAATAATTAAAAGGTGAGGCAAGTCCAGGTAAATATAGGTATATAAGTATCTTCACAAAAAAGACAAAAGTGTGAGATAGACAACACAATCGTTTAAAAAGGGTTAAAATTAAAAAAAAAATATGTATATTTCAAATATCTGTCCCCAAAGCAAAGAATACTGAAACTTTCAATACAGAAGAATGGACCAGGATGGAATGCAAATGAAAATTTGGTTAAAATATTAATAAGAGTATTATATAAATGGAAGAAAAATACTTCAAGATTTCCCTAAAAAAATATGATTAACTATCAAATCAATAACTGAATTCAGTTAAAACAGAGTCAAACAAACATCTCATCTCTTGATAGAAAGAGAAAAACAATTAGATTAAAAATCAGTAAATGTAACTTTACCATAAAAAGAATTTGAAAAATTCATTTTACTTTTAATGATTCAAATAAAATATTTAAAAATCATAAAAGATTGTTTAATATACGCCTACAAATTCAAAATAACTAATAATGCAAATTATATATATATATATATATATATATATATATATATATATATATATATATATATATATATTTGCATTATTCATTTCTGTAGTTAACTGCTACCAGCAAGCGGAAATATTTCTTCTCCTGATGATGGCCATTATGGCCAAAACTAGTCGAGGAATCTAAATGAAATAATAATAAAAAAATGAAAGAATATTAATCTACAACCCAGTGTGTCTGAAGATTTTAATTTTTTAATATTTTTTTTATTGTTCAATATATACATATATATATATATATATATAAACTTTCGGAAAGGTATGCATCCATCTCTTCTCCCCACAGCTATGGGTAAATAGCAAGACAAAGTGGGTCCTATAGCCTTGGTTGGCAAATGATCTAGGACAACTCTGAATTCAAAACCTGAGGTGGGTCATTTGGGGACCTTGTGGCATACTGTGCACTAGTTCTCTATATTTGGCTCTTCCAAAAAGTATGATTGGTTCTGCACAAATCTTCACCAATATAATCAAAAATGATATGTGCAAGTAGTCTGGCTGTTGGTTCTAAGAACTGAGCTCTTGAACTTATTACATCAAAAACAATAGGAGAATCCAGTGTGTGTGTGTGCATATATATATATATATATATATATATATATGTGTAAAAATAAATGGATATAAATCCGATAGAATGAAGAAAAATTTTGAAAAAACAAACAAAAATCCTTAAATGCAATTATGTTGTTTAAAATGAATGAAATGTCGACGTCTGACGTTTCGGTTTAATAAACCTTTTTCAAGACAATATTCATTACAATTCAGTTCAATTTAACAAAGATGATGGACATAAAAAACATCTGTTTTGGATAAGACTTGTTTTTTATGTCCATCGTCTTTGTTAAATTTCTTGTACCCCCCCAAAAAACTTATAGTTGTTGTTGGTCATCAGATTAGTGTGTGTGTGTGTGTGTGTATATATATATATATATATATATATATATATATATAAATAATACAAATAAAAAATTTGTCATTTAGCTGATTGATGTTATATTCAGCAGCTCAACTTCATTTTTAGAGACAAACCTTTTGGTAATTGTCCAGTCCACTCATCAGGATGTTTCAGCAATTGACTGGTGTTTCCTCAATTTTTTCCTTATGTATATAAAATGGGGACTACACATTTTCTGACTAGACCTGTCTGCTAGTGCAGCTAGCTAATCCTTGTTAGCTTTTATATATATATATATATATATATATATATATATATATATAATGTTATGAAAAACTTGGTAATCCGTATGGGTAGTCCCAAGGAGGATGAAATCCTGAGAGCTCAATGTAAATCCAGAGCTAATATTTTAAAAAAAAAAAGATCACTTTAAAGTTCCATTATAATAATAATTTTTGGAAGTTTCCCATGATCCAGAGTCCTTTAAAAGGACTCTGGATCATCGAATATTACTTCCAAAGATGGAACCAAGCGTGGTCTGTTTTTCTTTGGAAATATATATATATATATATATATATATATATATATATATATATATGAATAAAGACAAAAGGAAAATTATTTTGTCCTCTTTGAGGACTCTATCAAGGCCAATGTAAGGATTTTATTTTGTGACAAGTGTTTATATACAAGAGCAAAAATGTTAATGGTTTTTCAAAATTTTTTGGTATCAGAGTGCTCATGAATATTCATCAGGTTAGCAGAAAAGTCAGGCAAGTTCATTGTCATGAACTGATACAGTTCAATGACAAATAAACAAAAGTGAAGATTTTTATATAAATGTAAATTAGTACTTAAATTATTTTGGATTGAGATTGATAAATGTGCTATGTTTTGAATAACATGAGGTTATGGATTTAAGTGTTTCCTTTTAAATTTAAAAAAAAAAATTTAATCTGTTTTCCTTTTGTCTTTATTCACATTGTTCTTTTACAGATATAGTATATCTGAAATTCGTACATTTACATAAATACACAGATACATGCACACACATGTGTGTGTTTTGTTTTTATATATCTGCACTCAAATTGTTAGCAAAAGAAGTTTAAAAGAAAACAAATTTAATGCCTTTTTTATTATAAATGTCATCAGTTATATAAAACTAACTTAAAATTAGAAATCTAAACAGATTTAATATTGACATTTTAATCTTCCTTTTGGTTGATATATTAACATTCTGAATTTTTTAATACTATTTATAGGATATACTTATTTCAATATGTACATTCATATATTAATATATAGTCAATGCTTTAAAACAAAACAGAATAAAAAACTTACTGGACTGAAATATGAGAACGAGTCACTACCAATGATTTACTTCGTTCAAATTTCATTTAAAACTAACTTTTATGTAGCACTGGAAATCTTTAAATTGCAATGAATTAAATATACAAGTTAACAATGAAGTGACATGAAAATGAACTCAAAACCAAACTAGAAGTTTAACTTGGTCCTGTTTATGATGAATTATTCAGTCAAATCTGTTGAATTTAGTTGTTCCAATTTTTAAAGAAAGTTTTAATTGAGAATTAAAGGAACAAAATGTTCTAGTTTTCTTAATAAAAGAAAGAAATACAAGAAAATAAAAGGAGAAAGAAAAAAATTCAATTAAAATTCCATATTAGCTGAACTTAATAATTTTCTCATTTCAGTAATAAATAAATAAATATTTTAGCAAAGATAAAGTCAGAACCAGTATTAAATGGATTAAATTACCCAAATATTCACACATTCAGAACAAATCTAGCTGAAGTCATTAATAACATTTGGGAAAACTGCTTGCTGCCCAACTTGAACAAATATCTTAGGAGGTTAAAAAAAACAAAACAAAACATGAAACTAAGGAATTATGTTAAAAAAAAAAAGCAGAAATGTTAGGCACATACAAAAATTATGTTAATTTTTTTTTTTTTAAATAATAAAAAATAACTGTGGACGTTAAGACATTTAAAATATTGAATTTTTATTTTTGGTGCTATTTGATCAAATTACAAATACAACAGCTGTTAGATTAATAAGGTTAATTGAATTGGGAGTATTTCTCTAAGAAAGATCAGAGTCAAATGTACATTTTTTTTTTAACAGACGAAACAATAGAAATGTGTTTTAACTGATGAGCACTCAAGCTACAATGAAGTGTTTGGTGAATATTATTGTCACTTATAAATTCATTGTATCAGGAAGTTAAGCTAATTGGGATATTTGAAGAATTATCATTTCATGTTTATTATAAATCATTACTTAAATATCAAAGAGGCTAAAATATTCAAAATATGTTAAGAATTATATTATTAAAAGAAATATGGAATCACTGTGGTGTTTAAACTCAAAAATATAGAAGGATGGTATCCAAGAAAATAAAGAACTGAAAATACACAGATTATGCATCCATGTTATTTTAAATTTGTACACTGCTGTAACATAGGGAAGGTTACAGAATAGAATAATCAAACAAAGGTTGGCAATAAACAATAATACTTAGGACAAGAACAACACATATAAGATTCACCAGTGGCACGTAGAAGTAGTTAACTGCTAGAATCAAGTGAGTCAAGTGAATTCCACAATGAATCTCCAACTGCAGGATATCTACCAACTGCCCCACACAGTCAGATGTGGCACAAGGCCTAATTTAATGTGGGGTATCTGAGCCTGTAGGCTTGGCCCAAAATTCCCTGTAGATCCCGTATAAAATGGGGTCGGGTAGCTGTTTCCTGAGATGGGACTTTGCCCTTCAACATAGCCTCGTCTGGTGATCCTCTCTGCTTGGAGACAGAGTTTGATCAGCACAGCTGGAGACGAATCTCCAACTGCAGACCAACATACAGTATTTACTACTGTATTTATGTGAATGGGGACATACCCATTATCGTCTGTAGGTATGCTACAACATATACATATTTGAAAACATGTTGTAAAATCATTAAAAAAAAAAAAAAAAATAATAATTGCAATTGCTTATTGAAGTTACTTGATAAGTTAATGAATTAATTGATAAAATGTGGATTATACAGGAAGTTCCATCATTGGATTTCTATTAATTAACTGTAAATAATGGATATTTGTCATATTTATTTGGGGAAAAAA